AATACTAGGATTTGTGACGTGTAAGTAGTGATGCGTGGATTTGGTCAGACGCGTACAATTTTGAAAATACTAGGATTTGTGACGTGTAAGTAGTGATGCGTGAATTTGGTCAGACGCGTACAATTTTGAAAATACTAGGATTTGTGACGTGTAAGTAGTGATGCGTGAATTTGGTCAGACGCGTACAATTTTGAAAATACTAGGATTTGTGACGTGTAACTAGTAATGCGTGGATTTGGTCAGACGCGTACAATTTTGAAAATACTAGGATTTGTGACGTGTAAGTAGTGATGCCTGGGTTTGGTCAAACGCGTACGAGTTTCACTCAAATATTTATACAGCTTGAATCTCTTCTCCATTGTATTGTTAAAAAATGTTTAAGTAATTGTTGTTTGATAAAATATTTTTATTTGAATCTATTTTCGATGGCGTCAATATCTTTAAGAAGAAATAACTTATGCGGATTTGGGTTGAGAAAATAGATAATTGCAATTTTTATTAAAGAAACAGGTAACTCAAATTCGGATTCATAAAATAAATTATTTAGATTTGGATTAAAGAAGCAACTAAATTAGATTTTTATTAAAAAAACAACGTCTTGTTTATACATTTTATATACGCTAACTTACGAAAAATCAAAAATGAATAACTATAATATGTATTAATAAAAAATATACAGAATTTATGATACTTATACTAACACAATACAAAGAACCTGTCTATGACAGGAAGTTTGTATATTACATAAATGTAATAGATTTAACTCAACGAAATAGTTAATTAAAATTGTACTTAAAAAAAAAAAGCTAATTCAGATTGAGGATGGAGATACAGTTAGTTTAGATTTTGGTTGAGGAAACAGTTTATTTAAATATTGATTAAAGAAGCATCTTATTCAGATAGTTTCTCTTTTCTCAAATTTTGTAGTGCCAGTATTTTGTAGTCGTAGCAGTAGTAGTCGTAGTTTTATTTACCCATATCTGAGCTAATTTTGTAAATTTTTTTCCTAAAAACTTTTCCTCTTTCTTGGAAACACATAGGTATATTCATCGACTTTTACAAAGCAAGATAATCATTAGTAAGAAAGTTTATCAACCCCGAAATCTACAAAAACAAAATAAATTATGGTCCCCGGGTAATAATACCTGAAACACGGCCAATTCACCTGCCAATCGGGAACTAAAAAATTAACAACACTCGAGCAACTCCTCGTGTACATATATGTTTCTATTGAATGCGTCTTAGAAGTATAAGCAGGGTTTTGCCGAACCCCAGTGTAGCAACGGTGTATAATTGCAAGCGCACGATTTCTCGGAAGTTGGTGCACCTCACGCACGAGTCTTCCCTTGTACACTTCGATAAAGCAGAATAACTAAAATTTCAATGGCGCGTTACAAAAGCTCCGCGGCTTGAATGATCAATATGCAGGGTATATAGGAGGTGGCGTAACGAGAAGACAGAGAAAGCGAGAGTAATAATACTCGACGCTGAAAATAATTTAAACGATCGAAAGAAAAGGGAGAGAGAGAGAGAGAGGGAGAGAGGGAGCCAATGGAAGGAAGTTTTAAACGGAGTGACGGACAGTTCGGCGTATTCCGAGAGTTGGCGTAATTGACGGCTGCACGCTCTCTTACTCTCTGCCAATTAGCGACACCTCGGTTTCTGCCCCATCTTGTATGGATTCTTGTCGCACTGCTCTATAGACGTCTGTTACTGCATACGTATGTATTGTGGATCGAAAATGTTAGTCTGTTATTAGTTTTCTTTTTCTATTGTTTTACCTCTCCTTCCGTTGTCGTTTCAGGGTTGGTAGCAAAAGGTTTCATCAGTATGAATTTCTAAGCTTTGATACCAAGAATATACACTACATCACAAATATTTAAATTTAAAATATAACTTCGTCATTAATAGCCATACCAATGTACAAAAACTACTATTGACTTACTAATGTCAATTTAAACCAGATGCTACCTGTGAGTTTTTTCATGTGCTTGATCATTAGTTATGCCTTGTCCATAACTAGTCTGATAGTCGCACTGGCGATATTCGCACTGCTTCCGTAAGTACACATATAGTTACATAAAAATTGATTACTTAAAAAAACTTTACGTTATTTTGGTACCATAGACAGTTGACAAACGTACGCGTCAAGATACACATAAATCTCTACATCGCCCTGCTACTCCAAGCTTTCACGTGGATAGCACAGACTAGAATATTTGCGCGTCAACTATTCGTTTCGATTTCTGGATCAAGCGTGGATTATTACGAAGAAACCGTAAAAATAAATTAAACCTTGAATATAATTTATCCGTTTTTGTGTGCTTTGGTGCAATTATCCTTAATGATGTTTTGCAGGCTGTAGCGTGTAGGGTTTTGCTCGTGGTAAGAAAATATTTCGAAGTTTCGTGCGTTTTTTGGATACTGATGGAAAGTTGGTGCTTCTACTGCGTGGTCAGTCTATCGCCCTACAAAGAGTGCACAAGCGTGAAACCGCTGATTGCATGTGGATGGGGTACATTGATCCCAACTTGTGTCCTCATATTTCGATAACCATTTGTTTGAGTGTTGTTACATTTTCAGGACTACCTTTGCTCGTGATGATCGTCTACGTATTGGTTGGTTCATCTAAGGAGGGGTCAAATTTTTGCTGGACGGACATCAACGCAAACATCACAGTCATACCAACGATGATTGTAATTCTGGTGGGGCTATTAGATTAATACTAGAACGTATTTTTTTTCGTCCCAAGTCGATACAGTGCCATTGTTTTCAGATCAACCTGTGCCTCTTCGTACTTAGCGTGAAGGTTTTATTCATCAAGCTCAACTGTTCGGTGTGTAAGCATAGGAAGAGGTGTTACATGAAGTGGCTGAAATCGACAATGATGCTCGTGCCCCTTTTCGGCACTTACCAAATATTTTTCGCGCTGTGGCCCTACGTCAGTCAAAACGAGAGCGTTAAACTGCCCTACTACTTCTCAATGAAAATGTTGTGTTCTGTGGAGGTGACTATATTATTATTTATTTTTTGTTTTTTTGTTTAATGTTATGTAATAACATATCGTGTTTCAGGGAGTCATGATAACTTCGTTGTACTGTTTCACCAACAAGGAGGTGAAAAACGAAATCAAAAGAGCTTGGCGCAATTGGAAGACGAAACGAGAAATCGAGAAAAAGTATCTACAAGACACAGTTAAAGTATAGGAATATGGTTCGAGTAAGTAACTCGCTGTAAGATTTGTGGAAAAAATATAATAATAATACAACAGAACATTCGACACCGACCCTGGATAATATTTTATCATTTGTTTGAAACATACTACATTTTCCTAAAAGTCAAAAGTCCCATCCAAATTGACAGCAACATTTTCCAATCTTTATAAGTCTTTGTCTCATCCACAAGCTCATCTCTAAACACCGAATATATCCTTTCGGTCGTGAACGTCGGCCTCATTGGCAAGGGAATCGAAAACTACTTTAAAGTAATTAGAGGATTGTCAGACCCATCTCGACGCCCGTTCCTATTAAGCGAAGGGGAAGAGAGGGTTGCAGGAGCTGTCGATCCTCGACAGGGACGGGAGTTTTTCAAGTGGAGATGAGCGTCGGAAATCACCCCTTCTCCGCGTCCCGCTATCCGAAACCCTACAGCGAACAACACACCCCTTTTTTGCTCTTTTGCGTGTCAGCTTCGAGAGCTTACCTTTTTCACACACGCGCTTTGCTTACTCTCCCACTGCTTCTGTAAAAGAGATTAAACCTGTACCTTTTTCTTTTTTGCACTTTCATGTATATTGATTTCCAGCTTGTTTTTCAGTTTTTTACCAAAGTTATGAAATCGCTTTCGTGCATATTTATATTTAACAAATTCATGTGTTTTTTTATCCCATGTTGAGTGCAAGTGTATTTTTCGTCCTACCAACTGGTTAACTAAGAATAATGTGTTTGATTAAATCAGTTTAGTGAAAGCATCCATAATTTTAATCGTTTGAAATTAAATAGTTTTTAAATGCTTTTAATTAAAGTACGAGGAGCTATACGTATTTCATAATAAAGCATATCTCGGGACATTTAAACACATTTACTGAAAGCTGCAAATTTTTATTGATAAGCATAATGAATCAATTTTAACGACTTGTTGTTTGGATGGAGACAATGTCGTAAAATTATGCTTCATCGATGATAACATCCTTCGTCTATTTCATGTATCGCGTTGGTTTTTATCTCTAGATTGAAAGCTGGTATTGAACCCCACGTATCAATCGCCAACTAATTCCTCGTATCGCCAATGTGCAATCAGTAGTAAAATCCTTTCCATAACGATTCCCGGTATTTATTATCTTGTTCTAATCAATTTTACGTGTAAGTGTCGTTGTACTCTCTTTCGTCGATTTTTATACAATTCATTCTATAAATGCTATTCACACAATTAGTACAGAATACACGGTTCTATAGGAAAAGCAATGAAGGTTTTGTTGTTGAAAACAAACGTATGTTCATTTAGAATCATCTTCAAGTCCCAATGAGACTAAAAGTGGTATGAATTAGGGTTGGAAAGTTGTAAGGTCATGTATACTTGCTCGTCTCGACTTATTTTGAAGGAAAAAAAAAAAAAAAGTAATGAAATAACAATAACAATTTGTCGGAGTTGAGAAAGAGCGAGTAACAGTTTCCACGTGCGCTTCAAATTCTCGAGGGTAGAGAGAGAGAGAGAGAGAGAGAGCTCGAAAAGCAAACTCGAAACATTTGCCGTGCGCTTGACCGTGGCATGACGTGCCCGGACGCGAATTCAAATCGGGCCTGAATACTTTATGCCGGCGCGGCTCAAGGCGCGCGTCGCGTGGAAAAGGACCGTTTGCCGAGTCCGTCGCGCATGCATGTGACCACGTATGTACGGCAAAGTGCGGCCTAGGGGCGATAACTCGATTATCCCGCTCGACTAAATCCAATTTTCCCGGAGATGGACCCGGTAGTTTCGCGCCCGACGAGTAGGTATAATAAATTGGCCGGCTAGTTTACATATGTATGACGAGGCGGGGCAGGGGGGATGGGAAAGTGCGTGACGGGGTTGGTGCAGGGGAGTCGGTGGGGGGATTGTTACTTTTCGAGTGGTTGGATTGAGTAATTAACGAGCGACTGATTTTAATTTTTAACAACACGAGTTGTAGCGTTTTATTACCATCATGTATGACGTTAGAGATACGGAAAATGGTAAGTCGGAGGAAAGGCATTATTGTCATTTTATGGACTCGGGCGTGCTTTATGGATCCGCTAAGTGACCCGGCAGGTCGTAAATCTAGACAAACGTGCGTTTGCGTTCCGTTGCTGGTACTGTAAGATTTATGATCAATAAAAACCATCCAAAAACTTTGGTGCAATAAATTTTACAGTCAAACTCGATTGACAATACGTATTACGCGTACTACTTTTCATTTTTTTATGTTCGTACATTGCAAGAAGACATTTATTTTGATTCCGGGTGTAAACGTTAACAACATTTTAATATAAAATGTCATACGATTAATGAGACGATGAAACTTCAAACGTCACTCAACAGAAGTGGGATTTTGCACAACTAACAAATTTTTTATTGAAATAAAACACATTGTATTTATTCATCTTTTTCGAAGTAATATTTCACCGTTTGAGTAGTGCCACAGACAATTTCACTACTTTATACGAGTACAGTTATGTACTCATAACTTGTGGAAATAGTTGATTTTCACTGTGAAATAGTAATTAAATATTCACCTCTTCTACTAGATAAAATTTTAATGATTTTATTGGTTAGTTAACTAATTGTTGTTGGCACCCGGAATCATATTTATAAGCTTTGCTCTTTTCTTTGATCGGATCAATTAAGATATCTTACGGGATCACTGATAAAGATTAAGAATACAAAATTGTAGTGACTGAGTGCAAATTAATATTACTCTTTTTTCTACTATTTCGTTGACGAAAATCTTGTTCATCCATCAAACCATGAAAATTATCACTACTACAAATTTAAAGAGTTGATGCATGGATATCAGAGGTGCACTAGTACTTATTTTGCATCACTTTAAAGAAGTACTTGTAACTAGCCTCTAAAGTAAGTACAAACACATTTTTTTTTTCAACACAGTGATGTAGAAATCATAGTTTGCGTACATTCATCATTAATTTGAGATGATGTCAGATTCATTGTGTTAAGGAGAGCCTTAATGGTGTTATGGACCACATAGCCCCTTGGTCAAACTGATCCTGAAACATCCTCATCATGAGCCTAGTAGGTAATATTACCGATGACGCACCGTATGAAAAAATGACCACTTGATCCTCAAACACACGTAGTAAAATACACAGGAGCACCATAATCATCGGAAATTGAAGCCAATACGCATCGGAATTCCTAAACAACCCAAGATGACGCGCGAAACGTCGGCTCTAATCACACACCAAGCCTGCATCACCTGCAACGTGCACACACCCACACTCGCGCCCAGAGTCCCCCTTAAACCCCTTGACCCAACTAACCCGTTCTCACATCCAGTGGCAAAGAGAGCGAGGCGAGGACCCCCCCCCCCCCCCCCACCATCCCCCGCTCCAACCCCCATCACTTATTCATGATTCATTATCATAGCGAATCATGAGCCATCAGCTTTTGATTGTTGCCCGCTACCGAGCGAAGCTCGCCTTGTTAGTCCTAACTAATGCGGCGACTCGGACTACGTACGCCCTCCCTCTGTGCACAACTACATGTATGTATATATATATATATATATATATATATATATACATCCCCTGACCGCTGAGGATACACCGATGATGCCGTTGGCTCGTTTGCAAGGGAATGAGGTGAGAGAGACAAGAAGCGTCATCCTCCGGACTCGATTCCAAACTGGTCGTAATACTCTCCCGCCGTGCGGCAGGCAGGTGGTTTAGCACAAAACAGCATAAAACAACGTATCGAGGGAAAAGGGTAATTCATGCTTTTTACAAGCAATGTGTTAAAAAATAACGCCAAATTACACAGACGGATAAATGTATACTCGTCTCTGGTGTAGTACCAACATTAGCCTGGAATACGAAAGAGTTCTTATGAATTTTTTGTGGCTATACTACTTGAATAAGTGAAGCGTAGGTACAACGATGACGGGGGTGATGAATAAAATAGTTTGGTTACGCGTATGTGATTAGCAAGATGCTAGTTCCATGTCGTACATGTGAGGTACATGTTTGGAGAAAACCTCGTGGGTAGGCTTCTGTCGTGTGTTACATGTCATGACTTTATTATTCGATGACACATTCTACCTGTTTCGTAAAAGTACAAATGTATTCCAAGTAAGAGTAGACTCACATTTTTGTACGTATGTACATCTGGTAAAGGTAAGTCGGTAATGTGTCTTGGATCTCTTTGTACGTCCATTTCTTTTTAAAAAAGCAGAAAATCAATCCAAAATCAATAAGAGCATTGTGTACCTTGATATGAAAAAGCACAAGATAATACCAATGTAATACAAAGACTAAACCAATTTCACAATGCGCTTTCGTCCTTTCCATTTTAAATGAACGATCTATCCGATACCGCACTTTTTCAAAGCACCCATCTATTGAAAAAAAAGACTCCCTTTCTAAAGCCACTCTTTCTTCCCTTTCATGTATGTATGTATGTTACGCGTGCCCTGAAAAATTCACCGTATTGAAATCACCACTGCGTATACATGTGATTCAATTGTCACGTATACAGCTAATCCACGGCGTCGAAACACAAACGTGTCGCGAGTGCAAAAAACCAATTCCTCGGGTGTGGAGTCTAATAAATTTGTCAGAAACCATGAAAAAAAAAGAGAGGGATGGCGCAAAGAAAGAGAATTGATAGTCAAAGGCAGAAGGATTCCCAAACGGCTGCGGTTTGTTTTCACTTTTACGCGTAGAGTTGTGCACCAGTGCTGCATTATTTTTCTCACGGGAATCGTTGCCGGCGGTGCGACTGGATCTTCATCTGATAGCATAATTCTTCTTGAGGTTGCTTATTATGCGAAGTAAGGACGTTTGAACAAGCGTAGTAAAGAATGTCGACAAAAAACAACGTTACTTTCTCGATTTTATTTGGGCAAAGATTTCTATCTAATTTTTTATGGTTTCAGTTCTAGTATACAAATGATGTGGTTGATTAGCGGTTTTAAGGCAAATTATTTTACAATTATCAGTCGTGAAACAACAGT